GGGGCACTGCTGTGGCTGGGCTCAGGTGGGTGTGTTGAGGCGTTGAGTGTCATCATCGCTGGCTTCCACTAGTAGTACGCTCAAGGCGACCACGCCAGCTGTCAACCACAGCCGGGGACAGAGGCCCAGCCTGCAGGACCCCACCTAGGGCCAGAGGTGCCTGAGGTCTGTTCTCTCCCTGAGTGGCACTGGCAATCTCCAAGTTCTCAGAGGCCACCGCACACTGTCACAGGATGTCTAAGGTGGGGCACAAGTCTCTGTTCCCTGCCCACAGCGGGGAGGGTGGGTGGAGCTCTAGCTTGCCTGGCAAAGGGATAAGGAGCCCTGTGAGTGTGCCTGGCTGAGTGAGCCCTTTAGTGACTGAGCCTGGAGGAAGGCCCTTTGCAGGACCCCAGGTGCAGCCAGCAGGCCTGCTGCCACCTTGTGGCCACACATGGGCATCACAGGCACCCCACCAGCTTCCTCCTAGGTCCTCCCTGGCCATCACACAGTACACCCCCACCCCTAGAGGTCCAGGAACCTTGGTGTCTGGTGAGTAGGGCGAGGGCTCAAAAAAAAAACCCTGGCGTTCCAGGGAACTGCCTATAGCCTGTGCCATTCGGTGTAAGGCTGGGAGTTCTGCCCCTTAGGTGGAGACCAGCCCTGGCAGCAGGCACTCAGCCCAGCCCAGGAATGTTTGGGACAAAAAAGAGAAGCCCTCACAGGCCAGGGGGTGGGGAAGCACCTGGCCTGCCAGCTGAGGGGAGACCCTAGGGAGCCAGGGAGCAGGAAGGCAGCCAGGGATGAGACCTCAGACTGCTGTCAGGAGTGACGACAGCCTCTCAACCCGAGCCCTGCACCAGACACCGCTAGGCTGTGGCTTCCCAGCCCCGAGTGTGAGCACCCATACTCAGAGCTATCCAAGCAGCGCTCCCAGAGCCCATGGTTGACTGGGAAGGCTGGCAGCCTGCTGATGCCCTGCCTGGCCAAGCAGGCTGGCTCAAGGCCCAGACCATGGGGCCACCAGGCAGCAGCTCGACCATCTATGGGGGGGTGCCAGGGCCTTCCCTGGCCCCCCGCCACCAGCACCTCCATGTAAAAACTGCGGGGCCTGCCCCAGCTTGCATGCCCCAGTCCTTATTTCCTCTGTGTGCGGTGTGTCTGCTTCCCACGAGGCCTGGGCATGGGCTCTCCTGTGCCCGCCCTGCTCCAGCGCACAGCGGACGTCAGTGAGCAGTGAGGTTGCTCCTTCCAGCCTGTGGGGCTGCACAGAGCACTGGTGCCAGCTAGGGGATGGGTCTGCTAATCGGACCCTCTGGCACCTCAGGCTCCTGCAATGCCAGAGGCGGGCGCCAAACTCCACCCCACCTCCACGGTAGGCCAGCCTAGGCAGAGGCGGCACCAGGCCAGCATGAGGACAGGTGGGTTCTGAGCATTTATTACAAGCTTGCTGGTATCAACAGGGGGGTGGGGGTGGTGCTGCTGGAGACATTCATTTTTTCCTCAGGTAGATCTTGGGGGTCTTCCAGCCCTCGGGGGCTTCCTTCAGGCCAGCCTTCAGCCAGATGCGCCGCAGGTCTCTCTCAAACTTTTTCTGTGAGGTAGGACAGAAGGGGGATTGGTGGCTGGGCCGTGGCCACGCAGGCATCCTCCCCCAGCACTCCCACAGGGCCCCAGCAGCCTTTGGCTCCTCACCTGCTTCCGCTTCAACCGCCCTTCCCGGACTTTCCGCCGCAGGAACCGAGTCCTCTTGACCAGCTTGCGGTACTTGTGGTGGTTCATCTTCCGCCGGCGAATCTTCAGCACATTTTTACACTGTATCTGCTGCCGGTCCAAGGACCCCTCCCCACCCTGTTCAGCCCCCTCCCCCGTGTGGCTAGGGGGGCAGTCATAGAGCTGGGCAGGCGCCCCAGTCCTTGGGCTGGGCAGGAGGCAGCGAGCCGTGAGCCAGCTCTCCAGGGGGCTGATGGCCATCTTCCGGGGGACCAGCATCTCCTCCAGCTCAGGCCGGGCCCCCTTGCCAGGGAGGAAGGCAGCTCGGTTTGGGCCCACTGGTGGCATGCTGCAGTGGAGTCTGGGCGCCTGCACTCCCAGCACTTCGGAGGCAGGCCAGGGCCGACCTCTGCCTGCAGAAAGCAAGGTGGCAGTCACTGTTGGGGTCTTGCTCATCAGCCCTGCCTGCACACTGGAGGTCCGCACCTGAGGCCTGCCTGAGGTGAGGCCCACAATTCCTTCCTTGGCTTGATGGCTCATGTTAGCCTGCCCTGAGCTCGGCAAGGTAACCGTTAGGCAGCAGGGTCTCTGGCTCCAGCCATGGGGGCCGGGAGTTGCATGGTTAAGTCTCATGCACTCCTACGTCCAGAGTAGCCCCCGCCCGCCTCCAGAAGGATCTTACCTGCTCTCTGCGCGGCCCTGACCAGCTGAGAAGTCAGGCGCACCACGAACATTGTCGGTAGCAGCGGCTCCAGGCGCTCAGGGGAGCTGGAACACACATGGAGGTCGAGAGGTCAGGCGGGAGCGGCTGGCCAGGACCCGGAACGACGGTCCTGCGTCGGGTACCGCATCCCATCACCCTCGGCCACCCAGTCCCACCTGAGAATATTCCAAATCCAGCTCACACCCTCATTTGATCACACTTAAACCTCACTCCCCGGTGACTTCGGGCAGGCGACCAACCGGCCTGGGCCCGTTTCCCCCGCGGAGGCACCCGAGCCTGGAACGCGGGGTTGCGGCCCCAGGGTCTCGGACTTCAGGAGAGAGGTCCCGTCGGGGCGCGGCTCGCGCCGCCTTTCGCCGAGACTCTCCCACTTGACCCAGAGCCTGCACGCCGCAGCCTCTCCGGCACCCAGGCCTCTGGTCCACCCTTGCCCAGGCCGGCTGCAAACTGACCATTCTACCGCCGCGCTCAGCCACTTCCGGTCCGTCCCGCAAACGGGCCCCCGACCCTACTGGCGGCCGCCCAGCGGTTCCTCCGCCCAGCGCCCCCTGGTGGCCTCCTGGCTCCGTGTCCCCGGGCCCAGGCTCCGCCCCGTCCAGAAACCTGCGTTTCCAGTAAGAGGAGCCGCCCTCAGCCCCGCCCCCAGCCCTTTGGCTCCTCCTCCTTGTGTTTCCCATAATCCCCGAAGAGGACGTTTGACGTCGGCGTGGCTTGCACTACGTCGGCGTGGCTTGCACTCCGTCCGCGTCCCTTCCGCGAGACACCTACGCCTGGGCAGGCGGATGTGGCCTTGTTGGATGAGGCGGAAGTAGCGTTTTTTGAACCACGGAAGTGTCTAGGGCTGCTGTCCCAGCCTGGGGCGGAGGCGAGGAGACTGGCACCTAGCGCTTTCCCTCCCGACCTCCTGGAGCCCAGGAGCCGCCCTGGGGGAGGTGAGGACGGCAGGTGTCTGCTGGGGGATGGATCCAGGCTTCCGGGCCCCTCTTCCTTCCCTTTATTGTGGGGATACCACAGCCCCTGCGCCCTGAAAGAGCAGGTTCTGGGTGTATTTGGGAACAGAACCAAGGGCGCCCGGTGAGCGGGAGCAACTAGAAAAAGAAGTGAAGGCGTCCACACAGCTGTCACCTTTGGGTCCATTTCTTTCTGTAAAGTGAATACACTCATGTCTCTCTTACTGTTGCTCTGGGCAGAAAAACCCGACTCATGCTGGCTGAAATCAGAAGCCATTTGTAGAGAATAGAGGTAGGCTTAGTCCCCATGCTGCCCCTAGGTCAAGTGGCCCCATAACCACCAATCTCTTCACTTCTTCAATCTTGAAAGTCTCGGTGGCATTTCCTCCTGAAGTGGGTTAAGATGGACCGGATCAAAAAAAAAAAAAAAAAAAAGATGGACCGGATCCCCGGAATGGACTCCCAAGATTCGCATGGGCACCCGATGAAGAGGGAGCTGGAGAGGGGCTGCTCTGAGGGTCCGCATTGGGCCTGCCCAGGCCCTTGTCTTACAGGGTGTCTGAGTAGGAAGTAATCAGACAGGGTCCTCCCCAGGCCTCGAGGCCACCAGGAAGGCTCAACCAATCTGTGGGCAGTCTCCCCTGCCTCCCATCAATTCTACAACTGAGCCATGGCCCCTGTGCCCCACCTCCTAGAGAGGCTCTTTGGGGGTCCTAAAGCAAGGTGTACAGAACAAGTTTTGCATGTTCACCCTACACCTCAGCTGCACAGGCACACCCCTCTCTGTGGAGCAGGGTGGTCGCTTAGAGACCTTGACCCTCCCCTTGATGCCCCATGCTCATTCACCCCGCCTTTTTCCAGGATTCAGAGCCCCGCAGGCAGCAGGGCTCTGTAGAGAGCAGTCTAAGCAAGGATAGAAGACACCCAGGCAGCTGTGTCCCCTGCTGAGGTGCAGGTAGAATATACCCCCTCCCATCAGATGATGGGACATTGAGACTTCAGTTTGATAAAGTCTTGGAGGGCAGGATCAACCCAAGCACATCCCTAATCCCATGCCATGTGGCCAGGACTAGCCAGGTCTTGGTCTTCAATGAGGGGAAGCAAGAATAGCCAGGGCCTGCTAGGGCCCCAGGCCAAAGGGACTATTCCTTACTCCCTGCAGGGCAGTGACCAGTGCTTTGAGGAGCCTGTCCCCAAGGGAGGTGGACAACAGCCACCCTGAAGCGAGCCTATGTCTGACCCAGAGGAGGGACAGGAACACCCCTGGGAGATGCCCAATGGAGGTGAGAACAGGACCTGCTGGGCTAAGCGTGATCCAGAGGCAGCCTAGGAAGATCTCGTTTCCACAAAGACCGGAAGACCTGGGAAGAAAGATGACGGTGGAAGAACTGCTCCCAATCTAAAGGACTCTAGTGTCTCAAGGACACAATCGGCACAGTGTCTTCTTAAAGATCATTTTATTGGGGGTTCTTAACAGCTCTTATAACAATCCATACATCAAGCATATTTGTACATCTGTTGCCATCATTATTCTCTAAACATGTTCTACTTGAGCCCTTGGTATCAGCTCCTCTTTTTACCACCCCCTCCCCCCCCAGCATGGTATTTTTGTTTCTCCCAAAATACTCACTTCCATCTAGAAAAAGCTTTTCTACAGAAGCCAGCATCGTCTTAGGACAGCTTGCATCTGTGGGGTGGGGTGGGAGGGCCAATGAGGGCAGTGCCCTGGCGGCCTCAGGGCTGGGGCTGACCTGGCAGAGAGCTCCAGCTCCAGGGATCTTGTCAGCCAGCTGTTGGATAGGTGTTAATAAGAATATGAATGCACAATTAACTCGATATTAACAAAGGCCCAGTGTATTGTGCTGATCACTTCCTCTTAAGCCACGCTCTCTGCTTGAGACTGAGGCCCTGGTCATGTGACACCACCACGACAGGACAAGGTGGCCACGGGCTGGTCCATGAGTAGGCTGCCCGCAGGCAGGCAGCCATGGACATTGTACACAAGCTCTGTGACCCGGAAATGTGTTCCTGTGTGCACTTGCCCTCCACCCACCAGGTTGGATGGTTCGCCTGGCTGGACCCTCCAGCCTGAGTCTCAGTGCAGGGTTGCCCGCGGCCACCAACCCACCCACCTTGTTGTGCCCAATGCATCGGGTGCCTGGCAGGGAGCCAGGCTCAGCTGGTCTGGCGGCAGACTCCCATCATCAACATGACTGGCCTGAGCAGGTGCACTCAGCTCTGCCCCACCCCCCAGCCCAGGCTCTGGCAAAACTGAAGGGATGTGTCCCAGGCCCCAGTGACCTCTGAAATCAGATTCTTCCCACTGGGGCTGTTTCCCCCTGGGGGGCAAGAGTGGGAGTTGAACCCTCGCAGCCAAACCCCTCCTGAGCTGACACGCTTGCTCTTCCAGGAAGAGAGCAGCCCCTGCTAGGTGATGTCAGTGCCCAGGCCAGAACGGGAGAAAGATGCGGCTTTCTCCTCCCTTAGTTCCAGTCATGGAGATCCACAGGGGCAGTTAGTTCCGCTGAGCCAGCACTCACTCGATGGCAGTGAGTTTGGGTTTTGTCTTTTGCCGTTTCAGCCAGACCAGCTCAGGCCAGCAGCTGTTGACCTATCGGCTCAATGGGGCTGGTGAGGCCCAAACTCCATATCCACCCCCCACCCCACCCCTGCTCCATCTGCAGTCATCAGGGCCATGCTGCCGGGCAGGAACCAGTGACCAAAGCCAACTCAATGCCAATTCAAAGCGACCCCACAGGACAGGGTAGAACTGCCTGTTTCTGAGACTGTAACTCATTTTCTTCTCCAGCTGTAACTGAGTAGAAAGCCGTCTTCCTCCCTTCTCTCACAGAGCCACTGGTGACTTTGAACTGCTAGCCTTGTCATTAGCAGCCCAGTCGGTAACCAGTGTCGCCTAGCAGCCGAGGGGTTCAACACCAAGCACAAAGCTCCAATGCCGGAGGGGACGAGGCCAGCTGGGAATGTCTGTCCACAACTGGGGCGAGGGCATCCAAGTGACGATGGAGGACATCAGATGTGAGATGACCACAGGCCACCCAGACCGACAGCTGCTCTTGTCATCACTGGGCACCACGTGCAGGGCCCTTCTCAAGGACTGAAGGGCTTGGGGAGACAGCGTTGGCTATAGTTCCTCATAAACGGGCTGTTTAATTTGGGGGCCTTGCTTCCTTGGGAAAATCGTGGATAGGTTAGCTGCCCCTATTCCCTGAGGAGCCTGATGATGCAGTGGGTTAAGTGTTGGGCTGACGGAGAGGTCCGTGGTCCAAACCCACCAACTGCCCTGGGAGGAAAGATGAGGGCGGTTTCTGTAGACTTCCAGCCTGGGAACCCTGTGGAGTGCTTTCTGCCCGGGGGGCCACTGTGCGTTGGCATCTACCCCACAGCAACAGCTTTGGTTGGGGACTGGCCTGGAGGAGTTGCCTTTGCCCGGGGTTCTTGGAGAAGCCACTGGGCAACAGGAGTTCCCAGGTCTCCTCCTACCACGGAAGTTGTGCTACCTTCTCATCCGGGGGAATCCTGGGGTTGGTTGGCATTTCCTGGGTAAGCTGTGAACAGCTTGCTTTTTCTGGAAATAAGACTTGAGCTGGCTGCAGGGAGGCTTGGTTGAACTCTGTGCTGGTGAGGAGGACAGGGACAGCATGGCTGAGAGCAGACAGGAGACCACAGTTGAGAGGCCGAGCTGGGCTAGCAGAGCAACAGCCTGCCTCCTGGTCCCGAAAAGCTGATGGCACACAGAGCCGGGCATGGAGGTGACAGTGGCTGGGCTGGGTCAGTTAGTGGAAGAGAAGCCAAGGAGAGGCTGATGGCAAGGAGCCCAACTGCATGGCAGAGAAGGCAGCCCCTGGGTGCAGCCGGTACCTTCCCTAATAAGTCACTTGTACCAAGTACCTGAGTTGTGTGGCCATTGCAATGATAAGGGCATCTGCAGGGCAGAACCACGGGGGTGGTGGTGGGGGCAGCTGCCGTCCAAATGGAAGGCCCGTTTGCCTGCCCAACCTCCACTCCAGCTCAAAGGCAGCAGCTTTGTGCTGACCCGTCCACACACAATGCTACACAAGCAGGGTGCTGCTCACGGCCAGAGTGCCTGTGGGCAGGACACACTGACGTACCTTGAACAGGACGGGGACACAGCCAAGGCGGGACACTCCTGCCCAGTGTTGCCTACCTGTGCCCCAGCAGGCCCAATCACTTTGCTAAGCTTTGAAGCTGTCCTTTCTCCGGACCCCAAGAACCCCTTACCCTGCCAGAAGGTGGCCCAGCCCCACCACCCTGCACACAAGAGCACGCACACAGGGGTAAGTACAAAAGCCGACACTTTAATGAGACGGGGCGGCGACAGCATGGGCGTACCCCTACAACGGATAGCGCCAGCTGCACCCGCCACCACGGCTGTACGAAGCGAGCAGGGGAACGAACTACAAACCCTTCGACGTTCCAAAGGTCCTGAGTAGAGAGAATTGTTTATTCAAACCACATAAAATGCATATATAGGAAATGTCTCTATTTAGGAGCTGGTGGCCCGCACGCAGCATTGCACAGATAAAAATATACGACTTTCAACACAGCGCGAAATACCTTCACATTTTAAAAATCAGAGTTGTCCACACAAGTCTCAAGCTGCCAGAATCCAGGTTCTGTGTGTCCATAGACAGCTTTTGCTTGTATCCAACATGTGTTTATTTACAACATGGACAGAGGAGAGGGGCTATTAAGGCCTTTTCTCATATTGTACTGTTAAACACCGCAAAATATATACATAAATAAGTACAACCTAATATAGGCAAAGATTCTAAAAATCATTTTTCTTAGTTGAACGTAATTGAGCGTCCGTCTGGGGGAGAGACAGCTTGTCGTTAGCACCGAGCTCCACCACTCTCACCATGCATGCGTCTGTTCCTTCCGGCAGCCAGCAGGCTTGGGGGTGCCCCGTGCTCAGACGTGGGTGTGCCTCAGGTCCAGTATAGGGGTTGTGAGTAGGTGCATGGGCTGGCCACCTGAGGGGCACTACAAAGCCCTCGCAAATCCACTTTCCAAATTCAGAACAACGTCCAAAGAGTCAACGACACTCCTCAAAGGGAGCCACGCAGAAGGGACCCTCAGTCACAGGGTGCGTGGCAGGAGGGCTGGGGGGGAGGACTCCATGGTCTGAGAGGCGGCTGGCCAGCAGCCGCCACCGGGCCCTGCGCTCACCTGCGATGCCTGCTGTGCCCAGGGTGGTCCCGGTCATAGCGGCGGCCTGTTCGATCGTATGACCGAGAACGTTCCCGCCTCTCATCTCGGTAGTAGTGACTTTTCTTCTTGTATTTCCCAGGATTCTCCGGCCGTTCCCGAGAGTGGCTCCGAGAGCGTGAGGAGCTGCGGCTCCGGGACTTGGGGGGTTTCTGGGCGGGGTACTTGCACTCCCTGGACTTGGTGTAGCTCCTCACCTTGGTGCTTTTGTAGGGGGCACCAGGACGCACCTGTCTCGGGGGGGAGTCACTGCGGCTCCTGGAACGGCTCTGGGACTTGGACCCGCTGGACGTCGACCCGCTGTCGCTTTTTCTAGGAAAAAGGCGGAGGACACCACCACTCTGGTGACAGTCATTCCCAATCAGACCCCACAGATGCCCCAGGGGCCCCGAGATCTGCCTCCACCCCAGTGAGTGGAGTAGCACGTACCTCCTCTTCGGGGAAGCGGACCCTGACCGGGACCTCGAGGGGCTCTGCTCTCGACTCCGGCTCCGGCTTTCTCTCCCCTTTGGCAAGCTGTGAGGGGAGAGACAGTCAACCAGGGCTCCTGCCCCACAGCAGCTGGGAGAGGGCAGCAGGCCGGGGCAGGTGGTCTTACCCGTTCACCGGGCTGTCGGGCTTCGCCTTCTTTGAGGTCTCTGCTTTCCGCTTCGCATTCTTCAGAGACAGTGGAGAGGGCTTGTTCCCTTTGCCTTCTTTGGGGGATTCTCCTGGAATCGAGGGCAGGACACAACGATGGGCCATCAGAAAGCCCTTTCAGGAAAGAACAGGGTCAGCAGAGGAGGACATGGCCACTCGAGGGGAGAGAAGGGGCCCCAAGCGGAAAGGACTGTGCCCAGCCTGAGGGCGCATGTGAATCATGCGGGGACTTCGGGTCTAGGCTCTTGACACTACAACCTATTACCCCAAAGGGTCAAGATTGTCATCCGAGGACAAGTTCACAGGGTCGGTAAATCGAAAAGGAACACTGCCCAGGCCCCTACCATGACCCTGGTGAGCCTCTGGTTAAGAGCTCAAGTATCTGCCGATTCAGCCCCAAGATGAAGCGATTCCCTTGTTCCAAGGCAAGGGGGGCTTCAAGATGGCCGTGCGCCACACTCACCAAGCTTAGGGGCTGGCGAGAATCCCGACGTGCCATCCAGAACCTGTGTGCTGCCCACAAGCAGGCCCTTAGCCTGTGCCTTTGCCTCCTCGATGGCATGCTTCCTCTTTGCCACCTCACTTTCCAGGTGCGTCAAATCAACCTGTAGGGGTCACCAACCACAAACCAGAGTCAGAGCTGGGCCCGGCCACACGTGGCCACACCCAAATGTCGGCAGCATGTGTGAGAAAGCAGAGGGACCTTTTTCCGAGTGTACAGCTGCAGGATCTTTAAGCAGATCTCTTGGATTTCTTCTTCAGTTGCTCCAAACAAAAGAAACCAGTGGGGACGGTTAGGCAGAGGGATCTGCAAACACAAACACCACCCTGTGAGGCTGTGCTGAGCACTCAGGCCAGCAGGCGGCGGAGGGAGCTGAGAGCGGCAGAGGGAGGCAAAACTGAGCAGAGCGCTGACCTCGAGTGTGCGGGCAGCCAGGTAAATGCAGGCGCAGGCGATGCTCTCGGGCTGGAACCTAACGAACACATCTGTGCGCAGACTGTCATTCATGTAGTTCCTAAAAAGCAGAGGCAGGAGAATTGGGGGGATCCTCCCCCAGACAGCCCTCCCCATGACCAGACAAGGGGTTCCCCAGTTAAGTGGCCTACTGCCGGGGTGGAGGGCACAGCAGTTGGGGGGGGGAAGGAAGGGAAGGGGGACCTCAAGAGCTAGTGGAGAAGCTGCCTAGCTGCTTTGTCTGTATACAAGGGCAGAGGGGCAGAGAAACTACTTTAAAAAAAAAAAAAGCTGGCTGAAATGTCAGACAAAACAGGTCGCTACGAAAGAGAACCAATTTTAACTTTGCTTTTCCCTCAGCCTTGGCCTGCTCTCATGCAAAACACAGTGTCTCAGGAGGAAACCGTCCACCGAAGTGGTTAAAATGTGTCTGGATAAAGAAGTCTAAGTGCCGAAATCCACAGTGCAGAGCAGTGTGCAAACGCAAGGGCGGCCTGAGCACGCGCCGCGCTTTTTCTGGGGCCAGTTTCTCTTCTGGTCATCCTCCATGGGCGCACAGCCTGACCCCCGATGACTGAGACCCAGCTGCCAGGAGTCCGCTTCGAGAGAGTGTGGGGAGGGCCCGCCTCCAGTGCAGTCCCGGAGCACGGGGCCCTCCTACCGAAGGGCCGGCACTCCCAGGAAGTCCTCTTCTCAGCCTTTTCAAAGAACCGTTTCCAAAGTGTCCCATTGCAACAAGGAGTCTTAAAGTGAACACTCATAAAATCAGACAACAACAACAAAAACACTGCAAATGCCATCACAATCAGTACATTTGAAGAACTTAGTCACAATATAAACATTTGGTACAAAGCGTGTCTGTTTGTTTTTAAAGTTAAAATAGACTGTTTTCCACTAGATAGACTCAAACCGCCTTGCAGATAAGCTATCCATCCCACAGGGACAGAACTGTGTCAGGTGAACACATGCTTAGTGCTCCCGACAGACCCCATCCTCCAACCAAGCTGCACCCACAGTGACATTAGGCCCTGCTACTGTTTGCTTTACCACCCCCCTCCCCCCCAGTGACCTCTCCCTCCCCCTCCCCCGAAGATGTTACCGCCAACCCACTCAGAGATCTCTGAAACGGTCACTTGTACAGAAGCAGCGGCATCTGGTTCTGAAGGGCCTCCAGGGCTCCCAGAGGAACCAAGGAACGTCCAACTTGGCCAATCAGCAGTTCCAAACATTTAGAAACATTGCCACAGGCAGTGTTCTATTTTTTTTGTCCTAATAAGAAATGTTCAGTTCTCAAACAGTGAAAATTACATTCATTTGATAACTTTTACGTCCTCAGAGACAAGTCTTGATAGCATAATGTAAAAACTTAATTGCTCTACTTTAAACAAGTTACAGTATTTTAAAAATGTCCATGGGATCGTGTAAAGATGCACACCTTTTACTACGGCTGATCAGGGTTCAGCTGCTGAGAAGAGCAGCTAGAGGGCATCTGGACATAATGCCACCCCCACCCCCCACCCTGCCCACTGCCACCCCTCATTGGCCAATTCGTCACCTCCATTCTTACTGCTTTTCAGGGTGTTTTTTTTTTAAACGAAAAGGTGTTGCATCTTTATCATACAGGTATGGCAGTTTTAAAGGGACAAGATTCAAATCAAGACAGTTACCAACTCTAATCAGCACATTATCAAGGCAGAGCAGAGGGTGAACAGGCAGCAGTCCCAGAGAACCACACGCGGCACCGGCCGTTACTATGCTAGCGTTGGCATACCACCGGTCTAGAGCAGCCTTCTGTGAAGAGCCTGCATTGCATTGGCTGAAGACGGCCGCTGTCCTGCACCGAAGCGCTTGGACAGCAGAGGAGAAGTCTTAGTCACTTACCCTCAGAGGCTACCCTTTGATTGAAAGAGTACAGAAAAGAAAAGTCAAAATAGGTTCTCTAACAAACACATCATAGCACCAGACAATTCAGTCAGCAAAGTATGACCCTTACAGACTTAACGCAGTAGAAAACTCCTCGAGGTCCCCGCTCCCCCACCCAGCACTAAGCCTGGCACTCCAGGCTTCAATGCTAGCCCAGGCGGTTACAACCAGCCCCAGAGCTTAGACAAGGGTCCTACACCCATCGTCCTCCCCAGTGCACACAGGGAAGCGGTGAGCAGCCATCCCACAGTGGAGTGAGGCCACCAAGTTGGCTTTGGTACCCCAGGCCTCCTCTTTCCTTGGGGAAGACCCTGACAGGCTATGGGGGAGAGGGAAGAGGCCACCTTACCGTGAAGCCAGTGCCTGCATTTGGGGAGGCTGACTGGAATTTACACAGCAGTAACACTGGGCACTTCAGACAACTCCAGCCCACAGTCTCCAGGCCTGACTACCCACTGCCCAAAGGGTCTCAAATGAACTCAGTCTGCCACTGCCCTTGCTGGTCCCAACAACAAAGAAAATCAACTCACCATGACGTCTGGACCAGGTGCTGGCTACGCTCACACTCTAACACCTGGAGGTACACAACGATTATCTGGAAGATACGGGTCAGGAAGTTATTGCCGTGACTCTCCTGCACCGAGTGCTCAGATCTCTGCGGAGTCCATGCAGCAAGGAAGAGCTCTGGCTACAGTCAAGGGTTGGGTTCCTGCTCGCACCAACGGCAGCTCGGGGAGGCGAGGCGAGTGCTGCTGCTGCACCTGCTCTGGCAGCCGCCAGCGAGCATGCAGGTGAAGACAAGCTGCCGTGTGGCCAAAGGCCTCCTGTGCACGGCCTGGCCAGCCCATGCCTGTCCTCACGACCTTTTCCACCAGTATTAGCCCGCCCTCAACATCACTGCATCCCAATCGTTGACTTGACACAGGGCGAGAACACTCTCAGCAAGTGAAGAAGAGCACTTAAAGGCATCTGTTTCCATCAGGCCCAGTCTCGCGAACCAGGCTGAAAAGCCCAAGTAAGAGAAGGCGCAAGGAAGCGCACCAACAAAAGGCATGAGTGGATGGGTGGTGGTGGTGGGGTGTGTGTGTGTGCCTGTGTATGAATTAAAAGATGCAACCAGTACTCTTTTGCCACAGCATATTTTGCTCCAGTATAAGCCAGGAGCCATCCACAGCATCACAAGAACACAGAGTTCATTCCAGAATACAAGACTTCAGAATCACTAGACAGGAAGGAAGGCTATTCTACTTCAACTTCCAAAAGCAATCAGCTGTTGGCGGGAAAAATACTGACATATTTATTCAATGTTTACAAATTCATCACTATTTCTATTTCGGCAAGTCCAAATGTAAAAGATGCCTTTCTCATAAGCCCTAAGAACAGACCATCCAAATGAGCAGGTAGCACCACAAGGTGGGGGGAAGAGGTCCCTGAGATTACACACAGAGACTAGCAATCAAGCCAAGGACGCAGTGAAATCCGCTCCGGGCCTTCCCTGGCTGTGAAAATGGAGAAATGGGTTCGCCAAAAGCTGAAAAGCGAAGCAGAGGGCCATGCATGCACCGAGCCCGTACCCACCTTGTGAGGGTGCTTCACGTGGACACAGAAGCCCAGCTCTTTGAGAACGCGTCTTTCCGCCTTGATGATTTGGTTTTTCAGATTAACATAATCTTGATCTAACAGCAGAGGCACAGGTTTCCTATGATGACAAAGCCCACAGCCCAGGGTTAGGTCAAAATCCAGCGGCAGCTTCCACATCCCACAGGACCTCCACAAGCAGACGCTTAGAAAACCCACGCAGCTGACAAGAACAGTACATGAACGCCACTTCCTCTAACACAATCCCAGAGTCCTCCTCAAACACCAGTGCTAACCTGGTACCGCTTCAAGTCCTCTTGAAGGCCAATCAATACCAACTAAATGAAGTCAAGGGCCCCTGGGGCTGCACCAAAGAGGGGCCCCACGCACCTTGTGTGGCCCCCGATCTGTATGTTATGTGTTTGAAATGGCAAGCCAGAGAACCTGAGAGGGTGACACTGCAGACCAGAGGGAGGAATGTTGACCAGAGACATGCCACCCACTCCAGGGATGTCAGAAGTCCAGGCTAGGCTGTTTCTGGTTCTCAACCAGGTACAACTTTGTGATCCCAGGGGCAACGGACAGTGTCTGCAGACATTTTTGGCTGCCTCAGTTGAGAGGTGCTACTGGCACCTAGTGAGAAGAGACCAGGGCGGCTGAGGGTACATAAGACAGACCCAAAGCTCCCCCCTCCCACCCTAAGCTCCAGAGTCGTGGAGTAAACAAGAGTTGAGGGAGTGTGACTCTAGGGGAAGAAGATGTCAACCAAACCACAGTCACAGGGCCTCTTGTTGAGCCCCCAATGCCATCTCCTTGTGTGACCTGGCCCGGGGCCCTACCCTGAGCACTTAGAAATGTCTTCCTGACGGGCCCACCGGTTTCAAACCTCACCCCGAGCTTTGCGACAGTGTCAACAGGGTGACGTAAGCAGGTAAGGGTGGAGAAACGTGGACTGCTCAAATCAATGACTCACTTCTTCTCTCGCAGGTGTCGGAGGCGATGAAACACATTGATGACATCCCGGATCCGCCTGGGAGCCTCTTCGATTTTGGAGGCCAGGTGCACACAGGCCATGGACACGTGCTGGAACGAAAGCATTGCCACACAGAGGTTGGTTCCGCTCCGGCCGCCTCCCGTGAGGGGAGGAGGCGGTTGAAAGGCACGAGGGGGTGCCTCCCGAGCCGTGCAATACGGGGCTGGGGCCACGGAGGGGTACCTTGCTACGAAGGGCGAGCGAGAAGACCCTTACCTCCATGGAATGCTTCACGAAAGACTTGGTATAGAAGAATCGCTGGAATAGCACCTGCCCGGTAGCCATGGCCACCTGGACGAGAAGGAATCCCCCATTATTTACAAACGCCCGGCTCAGGCGTCCACAGTCCAACGTGAACTGTCCGCGACTGGTGCGCGGCCTAACGCGGCGCCCAGGGCCAGAGCGGGCTTCCACCAAAGCTCGGCTTCCCGCGGCCTCCGCCCCCGGGGAGGGCGTCGCGCAGGCCCCGGCCCGGCCGCCGACAAAGGGCAGGCCGCTCCCGGCGCCTGCCGCCGGTTACGCCGGCCCGAGGCTCGCGGCAGAGCCCTCACCTGAGGCAAGCGGAGCAGGATGCCGGCCGCCTGGATGAGCTCGCAGCCCACCACGCGGAGATCCGTCTCCGTGTCGGTGTCGAGGCCGCTCGACATGGACGGCGTGAAGCGAAGCTTGTCGTCCGGCAGGAGGCAGTTCTCCAAGGTGATGAGCACCCCGGAGTACAATCTGTCCCCAATCAGCACCCCCTGGGGCCCGGAGGCAGCGCTCCCCGCCCCCGGGGCCCCGGTCCCTGCCACGGGGGCCCCAGGCCCCGGGGCCCCGGTCGCGGCCGTCGCGGTCGCCGCCGCCGTCGCCATTTTGTGCTGCCGACTTCCCTTCGGCTCCTTCCCGGCAGGGCGGCTCCCCGAGACGCTCTACGGCCGCCGCCCCGCCCCACGCCGCGTCATTGGCTCGGCCTACAGGCGGCCCGGCTTTCTCAGGTTGTGATTGGCTGCGTGCCCTGCCCGTCAGCCTCCGGTCTGACGTCGACGTCGGGAATCTGCGCGAACGTGGGCGGGCTCGTTACCCAGGGGGCTTCGCGTCACCTCGGGCGAGGCGGCCCCCACCCGGAAACCGCGCATTCCCGGAGCCCGAGACGAGATTGCGACCGTTCCTCCGTCCTGAATCCGCGACGCGAAAGCTCAAACGTTCCCACCCCGCGGCGGAGTGCCCGGAGGCCGGACCCCCGGTCGGCGAGGCCGCGGCGGGCGGGCCGCCAGCCTCCCGCGCCCCGGGCCGAGTCCTGGTTGTCCGGAGCGCAGTGGCGGGGCACGTGGAGAGAGAGGCTGTGGTGACCTCCCTCGCCGGGGGTTGCCAGGTGATTGGTAGATTGCCCCCTTGCCCTGCGCCTGGCACTCAGCAGTGGGCACTAGTTGCCTGAAACAAAATCCGGCAGCTCGCGTGGTCGTTACTCTCCGAGCCTAACCAACCCCAAGCGTTGGGGTCACAGAAGTAACGCCAGGCAACTTAAGTTGTCTTAAAAGCCCAGCGCACGGGAAGAGATGGGTGAACAAGTGACTAGAAGTGTCCATTTCCATGTTGCCGCAAAGTGTACCGGGATCCCTCGGTTGTGAAATGGCTCCAAGCTCGAACTTTCCACTGTTTTTGAACAGCAAAGTTCGCAAAAATTGTGCTCGGTGGCCCTAAGTGTACTCGATAATTAACCGAAAACACTACTTGGAAAAAACCTGTACAGGCCGGGGTCAGGCACAGGTCACTTGCGAGGATACAAAGGAGCGACCTTTCAGTGTAAGCTTGACTCTTGCTCAAACATAGAGCGATTGCATTATTAGGGCAGTGGTTCTCAACCTGGGGGTCGCGACCCGAATGGGGGTTCGAACAACCCTTTCACAGGGGTCACCTGATTCGGAACAGTAGCAAAAGGACAGTGATGAAGTAGCAACGAAAATAATGTTATGGTTGGGGGTTCACCATAACATGAACTGTATGAAAGGGTCCAGGCATTAGGAAGGTTGAAAACCACTGCGTTATGATATTATAACATCCATCATGTGCTTTTATTTTCGTAAACTATAACCATGGCTCCAAAGAAAAATGGCAGCACTGAAGCTAAGAGGGAAACTGGGAACCGCCATAGTTAAAGCAGCCCCTTGGCTGACTTGGTGGCTGCATACAAGCTATCAACACTTTGGGGAGGGCATGTGACAAAAGCAGGTAATAGCGGTGCGAGGTGTGACATCATTAACCACAAAACAAAGATCGCAGACCTTGGAAGAGGTAGGCAAGTGAGTTCACTTGGATACCTTAGAGACAACGCAAAGGCCATAGCAGCATATCTGAGACAGGGATATGCGAGAAGGCTAAAGGCCTCCATAGTGATTTAAAGTCCTGGCAAAAAGAACTTCTAAGTGTCAATGTGGTTTTCCATTCTTCCTCAGGATGTTCAGTTCTTGCTCAGACGTTTAGTGTTCAAGCGCACATTTGGGACACTGAGTTAGATGGCCAGGTGCTATCAGGGTCCTTGAGAGTTGGAAGGTAGAAGTTCTGCGTGGTGCCAGTGAGGCTTCCAGGATGTAGCTTAGTAGTCAGCAGAAGCCAGGCCCCGTTTGGAACCCGAGGGAGCTTGAGAGAGGTTTGCACGTGTAACCCCTCCTCCTGACGTTTGGTTACCTGTGAAACAGGACCTGGAAGAAAGTATATGTGGCCTGCTCCCACCAGTGACCCCAGGGCTCAGCACACCAGCCCGGAGCCCAGCTTCAGACCACAGGGAAGGGCTGGCCCTTAGCTGGGAGAGGTGTGGACACCTGCACAGAGGGGGTTTAAGAAGAGATCATGGCTCTCTCCTGCCCTCTTGTCTCCCATCTCCACGTGTACCAAGAGGGGCTGAGGTTAAACAAGCATCAAAAGGCATGTAGTGGTGACAGCTAAGCGCCCCACAGAGAATGCACCCTCGACGTCTTCCTGGAATAGGTTATGGCATGGAATAGCATCTCAAGTCCAATGTGCATGGGTTCGAGAAGTGCCGTGTCTCCATCAAACTGGAGGATGAAGATGACATTGGTGGGAAACGGAGAGTGTGTGGCCAGGCAGAGGGAGCCGCCACGAGAACGCGGTGCAAAGCACGGCACGGGCAGCTGAAGGAAACATCGAGCGTAAGGAAGGGTGACTGCAAAATCCCCTTAAGATTCCTGGCCGTGTGTATGCAGAGAAAAAGTCAGGGAAAGGTTGTAGAACAGCACCACCACCACCACCACCACCCCCCACCAGCTTGCACTTGTACAGCAGCCCGTGCTTCCTCTCCTGGGAACACAGACCAGCACCACATGCAGGAGATCCCACTAGTCCATGACACCCCATCTCGGGTGACCGGAAAAGGACCTACTGTCCCACTTCTCAGCTTGGAGATTACTCCCTGTGCCCATCCAAAGGAACCTATGAGGATGAGTGAACAGTGGTTTCTGGAGAAGAGACTGTTCAGCACCAAGAGATTCATCGATGGCCCAACTCTACCAGTGTCCTCTGTGCAGAAAGCCTCTGCCAGAGAATGCTTTTGAGAATGCTTCCAACAGAGGCCCTGCGCTCACATACGTCGAGATTGTAGAGAAGGCTCTATGGAAATATTGTGTTGGGGTCACACATACCCCACTAACATATCTCCTTTTGTGGAAAAATGAGATGCTAACTTAACAAAATGAAGACGTATTGGCCTAGTGCCAACAGGTGGCTTTCTACAGAGAAAGTAGGTTAGTGTAGAAACAGGTTAAAATAAACTGTGATTTTATTCACCTTAAAAAAAAAAAACAGGTCACAGCAGGCCAAAGGGAGGAGGGCAGGTAGGGCTGTGGTGAGGCTGTTAGGTAGCAGAACAGGGACAGGGGTTGTCCCTCCGGTTGGAGGAGAATCAGGTGAGCCCTTAGCCATCCATAAAGACTAACTGGGCACGGCCAGTTCAAGGTCCCTCCCCCTCAGCAAGGTGGGCAGCACCCCTGGGGGGGCCCAAACTAGGCCTAGGTGAACTAATTCAGCCAATACCTTCTACCATGTCTCCCAGCCGTAGGCCTTAAATACCTTGACCCCAGCGACTGCTGGGCACCATGTTTTCTTCGCCCTTTGCCTCCTCCTGTGCCCCCTCGGCAGTCTCTCCAGCCTCAGGCTGCCACGTGTGGGTGTGCAGTCCCACGAGGTTGCCCGTGTTCAGTGACTGTAAAACCTGAAACTTCTGTCCTTTATAAAAACCCACTTGGTTCACAGACCAGGCTTCAGAGTGAATTCTTCCTTGTGCAAAGCCAAACGCCAAGGAATTTTCCACCTGGGAAATCTAACAAGGCCAGTCCTGTTGGGAGCTTGTGGAGAAGGGAAACCAGGCTGGACGTGATGGAGGTGACCCATCTGCCTGCTGTGGGAGCGCAGGGCAGCCAGGTGGACGGCAGACGGAGCTGCAGAGGAACTGAGATCGAAGGACAGGGCTGAAGGACCAGGCCACAGGGTCCCTGTGGCAAACACCAGGTGTGAGGAGGGGAGAGCAAGGAGTCCCCAGCGGTTCGCACAGGAATTTGGGCAGTCAGCTTCGGAGACAGGGCAGTGTGTTCAGGAGGTAGCAGGGAACAGCCACTGGGCCCTGGACTGCAGTTCCAGGAAGTGGGAAGCTGGGCGTAGGCTGGGCCACTCGAGCCAGGGTCAGTGTAAGAGGCTTGGCATGAGTCCCCTAACCTACAGGAGGATTCCAAAAGGAGAGAGCAGCAAGTTTAGGTTGTGTAGGTGTGTCCCACAACCCCGACCTCGGGGACAAAAGTGGGCAAGTACATCCTCCAGGTGAGCACCCTGTGCCTCATTACAGATCGGACACACCCCTGAGGCCAGGGTCCCCTGCTAACTGAATGCCGGAAACACAACTTGCAAAGTAGAACAGCAAACCAGCTTTATTTTCAGGATCTGTATCTAACCAGCCTGTGGAGCTCTCCCACTAGGAGGAGGCGGGACCCTTTGCTTCCAGAGGTCTGTACGCAATTGTGTCCATTCCTCTCGCTATTTCAGGGTCTGTGACCATTGGCACAAACATCTTGGAGGTCACACTGCCAAGGCAGGAAGGTCAATGTGCGTGGTGGGGGGTGCTCAGCGGTAGTGCGTCACTCGGGAGAACACGCCTTCCGGCTCCTTCCCGTCTCCCAGAGCAGCAGCAAATCCCTCTTCTCGCCTCCTTTTGGCCAAAGCCGCCAAAGACTTAAAAGTCTTTGGCTCGTAGATGGCCAGGTCGGCAAGCACTTTCCTGTTGAGCTCCACCTGGCACTGGGAGAGAAGGCCTGTCAGAAGGGCGGGAACTCGGGCAGATCAAGGGCAGCCCCACGTAGCGGCCCTTCTGGAGGCGGCACTGCGCGTGGCACATCAGCATCAGGATCGCGCAGCAGTGGGGTGGGCCTGACAAGGATGGGGTACCAGGCCCTTCAGGCAGAGCCACACAGAGCACCAAGGAAGCTGAGGTGGGATGAGGGAGAAGGCAAGGCTGGGAGCCGCCTGGACACGGACACCTTTTTCAGGGTCACTGTCGTCACCGCTGCTGGCCTGGGTTAACCCCCCATCAACACAAGGGAAAA